GGACCCCCAGCCGCTTCCCTCGTCACCTCCGTGCAGGAAGCTGATCCGGCTGTGACCCAGGGTGTGTGACCCTCGGCAGGCGTGGGCGTTCTGGCTCCCCCTTCCTTCCAGGAGTCAATAAACGCCGACGAGGACTGTTCACACCGTGTCTTCCGTGGGGCAGAGGCCCGGTCCCGCGAGTGCAGGGGCCCGCGGCAGAGCAGAGGGCTGGCTGGCTCCTGGGCCCCTTATGCCGACCCTTCCCCGGCTCCCCTCCAGCTTCTGTGCAGTTCGCAGCTCCCGCCCCGCCGGGATGTCGGGGTCCTGCCTGCCGGGCCAGGTCCCCTCACTGCGCTGGAATTCCCAGGGCTCTGGCCTCAGCCTCCTGAGTGCTGGGAGTCCAAACGTGCGCCACCTCGCCTCGCTAATATTCCTGTGTTTGTTCAGTGTCTTCCAAGTCTGAGCGACGCCCCCTCGTCCAGGCTTGGTTCTAGGACAGCCCTCCTCAGTGCTGTCAGTTTTAAAAATATTTTCCGAGCACTAGATTTGGCTGTGTTAATTTTTCCCCCATTGCTTGTTTTCTGTTCTGTAGGTCTCTATTGGTATCAATCATTATTCCTTTTCTTCTGTTTACTTCTGATTTAATTTTCCAGGGCCTGTAGTTTCATTTGTCATAGTGTTTTGCTTGGGATGTGGATCGGTAGTAGAGCGCATGCTTAGCAGATGCAGGGCCCTGGCCTCCATCCCAGCACCTCAAAAATGAACATCTTCGGAGCTTTTTGGAGAACATTTTAAATTATAAATTCAGCTTCTTTGATAGAATTCGTACAGGCTCATTTAGGTTTTCCACTTTTCCTTTGGTTCGTTAATTTTAGTAGTTTCTGGCTTTCAGGGAGACTGCATTTCATCTAGGTTGTTGCTTTTAATTGTATAGGGACGTTCATTGTTTCCATCTTAATTTCTGTGGGGTCCGTAGTGTCACGGCCTGTTTCATCCTTGGTACAGGCTGAGTACCCTTTGTCCAAATGCTTGGGACCAGACATGGTCATGAATTTCAGATTTTGGAACATGTGCATAACGAGGTATCATGGGGATGGGAAATCCATTTATGCCTCCCTTGAGCCTCATACACCTAGCCCAAAGGTGGTTTTATGCTTTGGGCTTTGGTACTTTTAGGGCCCCTGAATGTTGATTGCAACTCATTATAGGAATCTGAAGTGAAATCTTCCACTTGTAGCATCATACTGGTGCTCAGAAAGTCAAAGATTTTGAAGTATTTCAGATTTCAGTGTTTGGGATGCTCAACGTGTAATCTGTTCCTTCTCACTTTTAAAATTTTTGAGATAGGATGTTGCTGTGTAGTCCATGCTGGCCTTGAACTCGGGGCAATCAGCCTCACAAGTGTTGAAATTACAGGCATACAGCGCCATGCCCAGCTTTCCTTCTCACTTTTAAAGTATCAGTCTGGACAGAGGTTTATCAATATTTATCTTTTCAAAGAACCAATTTTGGGGGTCAGTCTTATTTTATTACCTTTGTCATTCCTGCCTTCTGATCATGTGTGTGTGTGTGTGTGTGGAGGGTGTGGGTGGTAATGGAGTTCTGGGCAATCTGCCAAGGAGCTGTTTCTCCAGCCCCTTTTTGAGTCTCATTCGGTTGCCCAGGTAGGACTTGAACCTGTAATCCTCCTGCCTCAGATGCCTTCCAAAGTGCTGAGGTCACAGGCATGTACCACTGTGCCTGACTGATCATTTTAGGTTTAATTTCTAGTGGAAGTGAAAGCTCAAATTTTTTTATTTCACAATTTTTCTTTTCCCATGCAATCATTTTGATGCTACAAATATCTTAAGCACTTATTAGGTGTGTCTTTAATTCCCAAGTACTTGAGCATTTTCCTACCTTTCTGTTACTGTTTTCTAGTTTGAGTCTACCATAGTCTTAGAAAATACTCTGAAATATATAAATTATTTTACATTTGTTAATGTTTGTTTTATGACACAGGTTATGGTCTATTTTGTTGGCTGTCCCATGTGCACTTGAGAAAAATGTGTATTCTCCTGTTGTTGGGTGGAGTAAACTATGAATGTCAGTTACATCTAGTTGGCTGAGATACTGTTTGGGTCTCCTGTATCCTTATTGTTTTTCTTCTCCTTGTTCTATTGATCCTTGAGAAGTGAAGTCTCAAACTAAATAGCAATTTTTTCCTGTTATCTCTTCATCTCTATCAATTTTTATTTATTTTTGGTGTGTATAACTGGGCATTGAATCTGGGGCTTTCACACTGAGCCACATTTGGAGACATGGTCTCACTGAGTTGTTCAGGCTGGGCTCAGAGTTGCAACCCTCCTGCCTCAGCCTCCCAAGTGGTGGGCTGGCAGGTATGCCATCATGCCCGCTTTATAATGTCCCTCTTTATCACTGGTTGTTTCCTTTGTTCTGTCCTGAAACCTATTGGTACGATGTTAACATAGCCACCTCAGCATTCTTTTGCTGGCTTTTCTCTTGTACTGTATATCTTTCTCTCTCTCTCTCTCTCTCTCTCTCTCTCTCTCTCTCTCTCTTTTTTTTTTTTTGTACCAGGGATTGAACTCAGGCCCTTGGGCTTATGAGGTAGGCTCCAGAACCACTGAGCTAAATCCCCAGCCCTCTTTTTTTTTTTTTTTAAGTCAGGCTCTCACTATGTAGTTCAGGTTGACTTTGAACTATATAGCTCAGGCTGGCCTCAAGCTCAGGGCGATCCTCCTGCCTCAGCCTCCCAAGTACTGGGATTATAGGTGTGTGCCACCTTATCCACCCTGAAGAGTATTTTAACTGATGTAGAATTCTAGGCTGGCAATATTTTTTTCTTCCAGCACTTTAAAATGCTTTTTCTTTGCTTTCCGGCATCCATGGTTTCTAATAAGAAATCCATGATCTTTTATTTTGTCTACTTAATGTATGCACTGCTTCTCTTGGGCTGTTTTCAAGGTTTAAAATTTGGTTTTTAGTTCTCAGTAGGTTAATACGTGTCTGGGCATGGAGTTGAGATTTTGTTGTTTTTAGGTTCATTGAGCTTTCTGAACATGTAAGTTTGACATCTGTTGTTAAATTTAGGCTTCCAGGCATTCTTTTCTTTCCTTGCTTTTCTGTGGTTCTGGGCCCTGTGCTGCCCAGGTGAGTGCTACACTACTGCACTACACTCCGGTCTTGTTATTTCTTTGTTTTTTTCTGCTATCATCATCATAAAGAGTAAGGTAGTATGTCTCAGCATGCAGAAGGTTTCATCAGTTTCTCATTGAGATTCTGTTCCACGAGGCTCTTATGAGATGTCTGCTTTCAAATGATCATCTTCCTAATGGACTGCTTTTGTAAAAATATAGTGACTGCCAGGCAGCCGGGGCAAGGATCACTTGAGTCCAGGAGTTTGAGACTAGTTTAAGCAATATAGCACACTTCTCTCTTAATAAAAGAAAAAAGCAGCTGGGTGTGGTGGTGCATGCCTGTAATCTCAGCACTCTGGGAAGCTAAGGCAGGAGGATCAGAAGTTCATACCCAACCAGGTGACTTAGCAAGACCTTTCCTCAAAATAAAAGAGACCATACAAGCTCAAATGGGACATGGTTTCTCTTATATGAAAATCTCTCTATGTATAAAGTATAAAATAAAAAACAGACAACAGGAAAGAGAAAAAAGCCCTCCCTGATGTATTAGTCAGATTCATTTGTCAGTCCCATGTGTATCTGTGAAAGTTCACAACTTAAGTGTTCCTTAAGTAAACCAGCATGGAGGTCACATCACATCCTGCACACTGCAGACAAAGAGAATAAGATGAGCTCTGGGGATCCTACAGTACCCTTGGGAAGCCAGACTGCACTCTGCAAGAAGTAAAATGCCACAGCTGCAGGTGTGAGAGACATTCAGGACACCTGGGAGCAAAGGCCAGCTGAAGTCTGCTCAGCAAGGTGGAGAGGGTCACTTGGAGTAAAGAGGACAGCTATGAAGGCACATGGTAGGAAAAGTTAGCTTCTTCAGGAACCAGAGCAGTAGGCTGCTGTGTGCAAGGTGGCCCAGTCACGAGCCAGCTGAAAGGCAGTGGGGGTGTGGTCCGCCCCCAGGGCGGCACTCAGATGCACACACAGACACGATCATGCACACCTTAGGACAGCTGAAGAGGCTGCACAGGACTCGTGGCAGAGTATCATGGCATCCTCTGCCCCATCAGGGAGCTCTGCAGTAGATGGTGACACACTGGAGAGCTTTCTGCTCAGACCTGGGCGATGGAAAGAGACCCTAGAGGTAGATGCTCACCGCTATAATGTCATGCAGGCAGGAGGCAACAAGAGCTCTTAGAGGTGTGGTAGGGGAGCGGGGCATAAGCCTCTCAGCGACAGGTGTGGAAGGTGAGTGGGAGGTGAACAGCTGTTAGGCCCATGTCATCGGCACCACAGACGCAGCATGAAGGCACAGCGTGGCTGGGTAGGTGTCTCTGGACCAAGCAGTAGAGGAGCCGGGGGAGAAGAGGAAGCTGGAGTCTCCCTGCTGCAGTGTTCTGGCCTGGGACACCTGGTAGACAACTGTCGTCCCTGGGACTGGCTCGAAAACCAGTCTGAACCCAGGCTAGGGCGAGGCTGCGTGGCGGGGGTGGGGGGTGGCATGCGGCAGGACCCTGTTAAGGCCGCCCTGGCAGGCCGGGGTCAGTGTTCTCACAGCTCAGTGCTGCCTGCCTCCAGGCACCTTGCCAGTGACTATCCAGGTCTTGGCCCTTGGAACTCAGGGCCTCAGGGCCACGGTGTCACTGCAGGATGGTGATGCGGACACGCAGGTGCGTGGTGAGGGCCGAGCTGCAGCTGAAGGCCTCCCTGCGGTTGTTGCCCTTTAGGGCTTCTCCCTGGTGTCGGTCCGCTGATGCTCCACGAGGAGGAGCTCTGTGTGAAGGCCTTGGGACACAACAGCACCGATAGGGATTCTTTCCAGAGTGGGTCCTCAGGTCCCTGAAGGGCCACCCACAGGCACCACACTGATAGGGTTGGTCCCCCATGCGGGTGCGCTGGCGCTGCGTGAGGTGCAACGTCAAGCTGAAGGCCTTGCCGCACTGTGTGCGTGCCTAGGGCTTCTCTGCAGTGTGGATCCTGCGCGAGGTGGCTCGTGGATGAAGCATGCCGTGGCTGAAGACCTTTCCGCACTCACCACAGGCACACGGTGTCTTCCGGGAGTGGCTCTTCTTGGGCTCCACAACGTTCTCTGACACTGGCTACACCTGGAGGCCTTTTTCCCTAAGGAGGCATAGGGAGGCCCTGTCCCATAATGACCCAAGGGACCAAATCTGTCCTCTGAGGGAGGCTGCTCTTGGGAAGCAAGGATTAGCCATGTCCTGAACTGTTTCCTGAGGCAGCAGACCAGGACAGGCTGTCTGTGGAGGCATCCTGCTGAGGCCCCGATGTTCCCTGAAATCCACCTGCTGGATGACAGACTGTCTGGATCTCCTGCCTCAGACTCACATGTGGTGGCAAACTCGGGTGCTGGGGAAGCCCTTCCCGTGAGGGGACCGTGTCTTCGGTCACATTTGACAGCCCTGGCTCTTTCCCATGGCTCTGCTCAAAGCCCATCTCAGCAAGGTCTATGCCTGGCTTCTACTCTGAAACAATTGGAGCCATAGCTCACCGCTCCTGCCACACCAGACCAGACCTCCCCATCTGCCTAGTGCAGTGCCCACCCTCTCTGTAAGGAGAGACGTGGGCCACCCCTGAGATAGCCTCATTTCCAAAGGACGTTTCTGACTGGGTGTCTTGGACAACAGACCGGTGTGGGCCTTCCTCCCACACTACCAAGCTGCATCACAGGTTCTGAAGTTTCCCTTGTTGCTTTAAGGCTCCTGTGCTTGGCCTAAGTGTCAGCAGGACAAACCCTCAGGTGAGAGGAGCAAGAGGGAGGTCTGGACTCTGCTGGCATCTGCTCCCCAGGCCAGGGACCCAGCTCTGGGAGGTCGGCACTGTCTTTTACACTTGACACCTGCTTCTGGGACCAGTGAATACTGGCAGAAAGGGAATCACTCCAGGTGCCAGTGCTACAGAAGCCCAGGTAGATACCTGCTGATGGGAAGGGTGGGTGAGCTACCCAGGTGGCCTCTTTGGAGGCCCCAGACCACGCTGTGTGAAGCACAGTGAAGGTGGAGGATGGCTAAGGGAAAGCTGGACACTGGGTCTGGGTGCACAGAACAGCTGAGGACATGTGATCTGGCCACATAAGGTGGCATAGGAGAGGAAGGAATAGTTGGCCCAGAAGCCAAGGTCAACCACCAGGCTCCGTGCTGGCTCACTGTGGATCCTGGAGCAATCCTGCTTTTGTCTGTGCCTTGCTGTCCCATCTGTAAGCTGGAGACATGATATATTTACCTTCTTGGGTTTTTATCAGGCTACTGTTGCATGCAAGACTCAAAGAGCAGTGTGCAACTCCCACCATCTCCTCTCTGTTTCAAAAGGAACCACTCACCAGGAGAAACTGAGGCCCCACTCAGAGGTAACTGCTGCCATGAGACCACATGGTTAGCCCAGCATGGCTGAGGCCCTTGTATGAGATTAGTCCACTGATGGCCTTGCTCCTCCCTAGCCCCTCAGACACCCATGGGCCCTCTCTTTCTTTCTGATCTACATCTGCTCTTCCCAGAATGCACTGGTCAAAATCACCATGTCAAGCCTTGCCCCTGCCCCCCAGTTCCTCTGCCAGGACTGCCGCTTTTTCTCATCCTCCTAGCACCACTTTGCCTTTCTTTGAAGCCTATGCCAACCTCATAGGTAGAAGGGACCACTTGCTCCCTGTCCTTCCTGGCCCCCAGACACCTGCTTGGACACAGCTGACAGAGCCCAGGAGGGACCCAACCAATCTCTCCCCGAAAGGCGTTTCTCAAAGATAAGGTACCAGGCACATGTCAGGAGCTGAATGGCTCTCGCCTCTGGTACAATTCCAAGGTTGGGAGTTTTTCTTGTTTTTTTGTACTGGGGATTGAACTCCGGTCCTTGTGCTTGCGAGGCAGGTGCCCGAACCACTGAGCTAAATCCCTGGTCCTGGGAGGTTTTGATTACAAAAGGTCTTTACCTACAAGTAAACTGAGGCACAAGTCACATGGCATGGAGGAGGCCCAGCAGTGTTTGGATCTATAAACCTTGCTGGCACATCTACATCTGAACTTCAGGAGCCCATCCAGCACACACCTCCCTGGAGCCTGGAGTGCCCACCCTGCCATCTGCTCCTGTCCTCAGGGAAGGGCCTTACTTCCTGCTCAGAATGGTCTCTTGGCTGGGTCTTCTCTGCATCTGTCTCAGCCCTGGCCTGGGACATCTGTGTGGGCCCCCTGAATAGCAGTGCCCACCTCAGCCCAGGGCAGGTCTGATCCACCCAGATCCTGGAGGTAGCCCAGGTTGAACAGAGAGAGGATGCACAGGGACATCCGGTGTCTCTGTCTCCCCTATGCTAGTAGCCTTGGCTTCTTTTGGGGAACTGCCTCATGCTCAGTTAGTCTCTGGGAGTTGACTGGCTGAGGGTGAGACCAGGGCACTAGCAGTACTTCTAAGTAGCAACCTGAGAGGAAATGAGCAAGCAGCTGCAACTTTGGGCAATAAGGAATAGAAATAAATCAAGCTGCTAATTAAATGAGCAAGCCAGTGTAGTCCTTGAGAAAAGGTGGGATGGGTCTGGGGATTTAGCTCAGTGGTTCTGCTGCCTGCCTTGCAAGCGCAAGGTCCTGAGTTCAATCCCAGGTACCAAAAAAAGAAAGAAAAGAAAAGGTGGGATGTGCGATGGCAACAGATCTGACAGAGAACTGAGCCTAAACTTCCTTCCACTTTCGTAATAATGCTCATCTGTAATAAAATCTCTACCCAGAGGAAGACAGAACACATTTTAGGCCATGTGCAAACTCATGCTTTTATAGTAACTAAACTCTCCTCTGGCCAGGGATGGCACATGCCTGTAATCTCAGCACTCTGGGAGGCTGAGGCATGAGGATCCCAAGTTCACACAGATGTCCCAGAGAACTGGAATGTCTTATCGAGCTACCTAAGTTGAGGACACGATTGTAAAACTCCTCTAAAAGACAAATCGTAACCCAGCCTGGGGTCGGTCGTATGGCACAGCCCTTGGTGCAGGCCGACCCTTTGCTAGCAGAGTAAACGTTTTTGTTTTACCCACTTTTTCATCTCTGTGTGCCACTTACCAGTCCCTTCTGCAGCAGGTCCACCTTTGATGTACTGAAACTTTATCAGTTTGAGGTCCCCCAAGCTCATCCAGTGGCTTCTCCAGCTGAGGATGGTGTGGGGTGACAGTGTGGGAAGGGCCTGGGAATAGGGGACAGGTTAGGGCGTCACCTATTGTGTGGGAAGAGACTGCCTGTGTGAGACGTTAGGAAAGGTGGAAGGTGTTCGTGCATCTGTGTGGGGTGTGGGTTCTTGTGTGAGTGATGAGAGTGCCTGTGTGGGGGTCTGGGGTGTTTTTAGGGGGTTTTCAACCCCACAGTGAGGGGTCGTGAGCATTTTCACGGGCTGATGGTTTTGAATATGGACTGAGAAGGCCAGTGTGAGGGTTGAAGGGACTCGTGTGGGTCAGCCCTACCTGTGTGAGGGAAGATTGTGTGCCTGTCTCAGGGACGATTGTGATTGTGGTGAAGGTGCCTGTGTGTGGGCTAAGGATGACCGGGCAGGGGAGCTAGGGTGTAGGAAAGGGCGTGGGTGTCTGTGTGTGGGCGGAGGGTGCCCATGCCAGCAGTGATGGTGCCTGACGCTCGCCCTACCCATGCATTACCTTGGGACTCAGGAGTAGGTAAGAGTCTGTGTATGTGTGCGAGTGTATGTGCGAGTACGTTTGCAAACCTCAGGCTGCCAGAATGCATCCTGCCAGGCCCTCATGGGCTCTCTCTTACCACTGGCCCTGGGTGCCCGAGGCACCTCCACCTGAGGCTCATCCTCTGCCTCCTGCAGCAGCCTTCTAGGCAGCTCATGCCCACCCAGATCCCCAAATATTAAAAAGCATACCCTTGAAGACCCTCTGGCGTGCTGGGAAGAATGATGCCAGAAAAGCTTGTTTCTTCCCCATCCAAAGCCTGTGCCCTGCTGCCCTCTCCTGGCTGCTGGGGAGACCATCACCCAAACTGAGCTTCCTTCTGGTCCCTCGCTCAGGGCTGACCCTGTCGCTCCTCCTGTGAAGCTGTGCCTGGTGGAACAACACACACTGGACGCTGTGCGAAGTTCTCCAAGTCGGCGCCTGAGTCGCTGCAGGAGTCCTCATCACTGCCTGTGCCTCCCAGATTGAAGCAGCACAGAGGCAGGAGGCCTGTTCACTTGGCAGCACTGAACTTCGAGCCCGTGAAGCTGAATTTACCTGGTTCTCATGTGTGACCAACCCTGGAGAGGGTCCCGGCTCAGACTCCAGGCGCTGTTGCCAAATCCCTGCATCAGGCTGTCCATTGTGGGCGGGGCGTAGAGCCTCCTCTCAGCCGCTATTTGGACTCCCAGGGGACGGTGCTGTAGCGCGCTCCTCTTGGATGCTGTCATCTTTGCAAAACTGCGTTGCTTCTAGTTGTGAGCTGCTTCTCTCCCTCTAGCAGGGTGGTGGCACCTGTGGACCTGCACTGGGGGGCAAGGCTTGCTGGGGCTGCAGCTGTGTTGGGCCATTGTGCTCCGATGGGGTAACTCAGCAGGTGACCAAGCCCTGCAGATTCCAACAAAAGACCACCCCCAGCCAGCTCCCAGGAAATAGTCCTGAGCTCTCCAGTATCCTGCCTGTTCAGTGTCTTGTTTGCCTCAGGCCAGGCCCTTGGCTATGCCAGGTCTTTTGTCAAGGATGACTTAGCCTGGGGACCTTGGGCCCCGGGTTTCAGTCTGACTTCTGAGGGGGCTGACACCGAGTGGCTAAGGTCAGCCACGCAAGCACCCCATGCCCATGTGGTTATTGGGCTCGTTGGCTGGCCAGACTCTTCACACTGTCACGCACTGTTGCGACAGTCTCTCCTGGACAACCAGGGGCAGTCTCGGGGCCCAGCAGAGTCATCTGCTTGCACTCAGGGTCTTCTCCCGTCTGCGGTGGCCCTGCTGTGTGCTGAGTGAGGAGGATGGAGAACTGGCTGAGCTGGGCGTGGCTGTGGGTGAGGACACAGCTGATGGCTGGTGAACAGCATGGGGGGTGGGAGGGAAGCAAACAGAACTGACGCCGAGGACCACCCAGGGAGTGGGCCACACAGGGAGGGTGCGCGCTTGGCCAGTGCTGGCTGCCTGTGGAGGGCTGAGATGAGCTGAGGTAATGGACAGTGAGGGGTGAGCGTGTGGACTCTGGGACCCGACTCAAGGCCGAGTCTCACCGACTGCCAGGGAAGCCCTGAGTGATGCCGGCAGGAGCACGCGAACAAGCACAGCTCCAAGGAGACATTTAATTGGCATCTACATCAAGCAACAGTTCCAGCTCCTACTTGTGCCTTTGTCTGGAGCAGCTAGATGGAACCCATCACCTCACTGTCCCCGATAGGGCTTATCGGGGTTAAAGTCAAGCATTATTTAGGAATGACAGAAGAGGGAATACATGTGCCATAATAAACTATAGGCACATTCAAAGAGACTGGGGCAGAGGGAATTTGTGTGTGTGTGTGGGGGGGATCGAACTCAGGCCCTTGTGCTTACAAAGCAGGTGGCAGAACCACTGAGCCAAATCCCCAGCCCTGCAAGGGAAGTTTTAAAGGCAAAATGAAGAGGATTACAGAGGACGTTTTGAAATAATAATCTTTGGTCACACTGATTAGTAATAAAGATGACATCAGATAGAAACTGAACATATAATTGGTGGGCAGAGTTCCTTGAAGTACTGGGGCTTGAAATATATCCCCAGCCAAGTTCTTGCTAAATTTCCCTGGCTGGCCTGGGATTGCAGTCCTCCTGATATAAGGGGAAGAGATGTAACTCCCAAACCTGCTAGACACCTGAAACATGAGTTCGTGTTCTCTAAAATGGAAGAGTGAATTCTAGGAACAATGGAGGTTAAGAGTAGGAGAAATTTATGGAGAGAAAGAGCTTCTGTCTAAGAGAGAAGGGGGACTGGAAAGTGGGCTTCCTGACCACCCAACTTCTCAAAGATTTTTTTTTTTTTTTTTGGTACTGGGGGTCGAACTCAGGCCCTTGTGTTTGTGAGGCAGGTGGCAAAACCACTGAGCTAAATCCCCAGCCCCTCAAAGATGTTTTATATAGCCAAGCCATGAGGTGGGGCAAAACCATGACCAACCAATAAGATTACAAGTACAGTGATATTGATTAAGTGGGGATCAAATGGGAGAGCAAGTCCTGTAGCGAGCATACAAGGATTTTCAATAAGGATGGAGGGTCAGGGATATTTCCTGGAAAGTGTGGGTTAAGACCTTGCCCCCTCCAGGTTATTGTTACCTATTTAGGGTATCAATCATTGCTATTCATCCCCAGGAGAAGCACAAGGGTATAGTAGTTTCTCTCCTTTTACAATCCTGGCCACAGTGAATGTGTCTTGATTGTCCTCCATGTTGGCTCCTTGCTGTGTTGGCTTCTTGAGGGCAGCCCTGTCTAACTGCCTACCAAATATCTAATTAACTTACCTATCTGCAATAGTCCTGCCTCAGCCTCCTAATGCTGGAATTACAGACATGTACCCCCACACCAAGCCAGAAGTGGTTTATGTATAAGCTTGTGGTGGCTTTTGTGTGAGCTGTGGTTCTGGTGGAGTCTTTTGTGAGAGCTACTATCAGGCAACCATGCACAAGAACCCTTTTTTCATAAGTTGCTGTGGCTTTCTTGACCTCATCATCCTTTCTCCCAAAGGAGGAATTCAAAATTCTGTACCAAGAGCAGCAGTAAAAAAAACTTGCATTATATATGCTCTTGAGCCCGTTGTTTTCTCTGTTGGGCTAAACACTGGTGTGGTGGTAAATTGGCCTAAGGCTGCTACTGGTTACCCCTGCCTCTGCCCCCTTTTAAAAAGGGATTCTTAGAACTTCACTAGCAGCCTCAATTTTGCAAGTGCCTTGGTATGTGTCCCTAGCAAATGTCCCATCTTAGTGATGCCACAACCTTTCCTTCTGCCAGGCTATGCAACCGGCCAGTGAGGGTGCCAGCTTCCCCAGGGAGTCACAGTGTTCATGAATTCTGCTGGAATTCCCGCCGCCACCTGTCATCCTGTGGCTCCTTTAGTGTTCAACCCAATGACAAGAACCATGCTTGTTCTTCTTCCCTTGGGTGTTCATCCAGTCTTCCTCCGAAGACCTTATCATCAGGGTGCCCAAGAGGCCACTGTCCTCTCTCAGATCCTGACTGGATCACCAGCTACTGAGGCCAGTGGAGTTTTCCCAGGACTTATTAAAACAAAGAACATTGTACTTCTCAGTTCTCCTTGGGAAAAAGAAATAATTCTTCTGTGAAGATGAAAACAAAAGAGAAGACACTGGAAAACTTATCCTTTTTTTAAATTGGCTGGCAACTTAGACTACCAAGAGGAGGTGTGATGAGAGCTACTGAGATCCCCAGATCTCTCCTTGGAGGCATCAGCAGGGGCATGGAAGCAGTAGGGAAATCTGACTGAGGCCTTCCCTTCCCTTAAAGGCCCTCACAGTTCTTTGCCCCTGAGCAAAGGCCTGAAACAAGAACATTTTATGGAAGTGAGATGAAGGCATGGACCATAAGTCTCTGCCGAGTTGAGCATCTCTGGGGAGCAAACTCCCCCAGTACTGCCTGCCCAGGACTAGATCTCTAGCCACCACTAAGAAGGCAGTGCTCATGTGGATGGACGGGGTGGCTTGTGTCCCCATTAAGGTGCCCATGTGGACAGTGGTGGGGTGACCCATAGCCCCTAGAATTGGTCTGGGAGTGGGATATGCCTGACCTGGGCATTGGTGTGGGTGTACAGATGGCCGCTGTGGATCTGGGTTACTCAGGGAGAATGCAGCTTGTAGCAGGAAACCCTAGACCTGCCGGTTCACTGAGTGGTCACACCCCAACTCTCAGCCTTGGTTCTGTGGAGGCTACATGGTAACAGGATAGCAGGGCACCTCCCCAGGCAAAGACTGTCAAGAAGAACAACAAGCCCCTCATAGTGTTTCTAAGGCTGGAGGAAAGGCACCTCCACGGGGTCTCCCCTCCCAGCTCCCAGGCAGGGCAAGGGGTCACTGGATTTGGGGCTCTGCAGAAAGTGGTTTCTTGATTGAGTCTGAAACCTCAGATTTTGCCCCTGGATGGAGCTGCTCCAACAGGATGACCAGGCTGAGTCTCTGTGGGTGGACACCGGCCTGTGCTGCCCTTAAGTTCCTGCTGAGTCCTCTAGTGTGAGTAGAGTGGGCTGAGGGACAGCAAGTCCAGGCGGTGCTGGCCAGGTATGGTGAGCAGCTCTGAGTGACAGTAGCAGCTCAGGTTTCCTATGGGCCTTTTGTGCCTCTTGCAGCGCCCAAGAGGAAGGGACTGGAAATCCAGCACAGAGTAAGTAATTCAAAGATTGTGTTGCCAGTCACTGGCAGGCAAGGATTTGGACCTCTGTGACTTCAGAAAACATTTTTTAGAGAGGTCTGGGTCTCTAGCTCAGTTCAATGAGTGCAGAGAGCCATGGAAATCCAATTTAGAGTGGAAATCCCTGTAAGATGTCCTGAGAGGGCAGCGACATTCTGGAATGGTGCCAGCAGCCCATTACCTCCTGAGCACTGGAGACATCGTTGTTGAGCTGCATCTGTAATTTCATCTCTCTTGTGCTGGAGATTGAACTCCGCACACTCTAAAATGAGTTCAACCACCAGCTATGCTTTAATTCCTGTACTTTTTTTTTTTTGTACCAGGGATGGAACTCAGGACCCTATCCTTGTGTGGCAGGTGTGGTGCCACTGAGCTAAATCTCCAGCCGTACTTAAAAAAAAAAAAAATTTTTTTTTTTTTTTTAAATTAACTGCAGCTGCTATGTGGGCCGGCTCGAAAACATTTGAGCACCACGGACAGCTTCACCCCCCCACCCCGCCTTCCAGGGATGATTACTGCAGACGTCTCCGCAGCCTCCCAGTTCTGCCGGTTCCTGAGCTTCCTCAAAGTGAACTGCGTCCCCTGTAAGTCTGATGCCTCAGCTCCACAGTCAGCCCGCAGGGTGCTTCTGTAGGGACTGTCGGACACGGGTGAGTAAACCCAGTTATCCTGAATTCAGTTCCTGACTGGAGGAGAGAAGGGCCGATGTGACTGTGGGCCCTCTGCCTCTTCCCACGGGGACCAGGCTTCTGGGAAGAGTCCTGGGGCCCAACCTCCCAACCCCAGCTCTGTTCCCATCTTGTTCCTGAGCTGGGTCAGCAAGTGTGGTGGATGCAGGTCCAGTCAGTCAGTCAGGTCTAGGCCCAAGCCCACCTTCCCCGCTCTGCTGTGATCCTGGTGGGCCCATCTCCCTTGGAGTTTCAGTTTGTGTCTGTAAAATGGGTCTTTTATGGAGGGCTGTTTGCTCATTCACTAACGAACGCTTCCTGGGCTGGGCAGCACATCAGGAAACCCGCAACCTCTGACGAGTGAGAATCTGTATCTTCCATTGTGCTAAGCACCTAACATGGGTGCAGGCAGCGCCTATCTGGGCTTCAGTGGCTGGTAGGATCACTGAGGTGACAGCTGAGCTTTCAACTGAGTGGCCAGTAGGAGACATGAGGGTAGAGAGGGAGCTGCAGGTGAGTCCAAGAAATGCAGAAGCCGTGTCTCAAAGGCTGAAGTCTGGAAAGGAATTCTGATGGTTTCAAATTAGGATGGTTCTGGGCTGGGGATGTAGCTTAGTGGTGCAGTGCCTGCATGGCAAACGTGAGTCCTGAGTTTGATTCCTTGTACCAAAAAAAAAAAAAAAGGATATTTCTTTCAAATTAGGAATTTGGATGGTTTCAAACTCCCATGATGCCTGTTGGGTGGCCTATGAGCTAAAAGTGCTTTTAACATTCTTTTTTTTTTCAGACAGGGTTTTGCGATGGCGTTCAGGCTGCCTTACACTCTCTATGTAGGGCAGGCTGGCCTTGAATTTGTGCTGATCCTTCTGCCTCAGCCTCTTAAGTGCTGAGATTACAGGTGTGTGCCACCATGCCTGGCTGAATTTTACTCTTTTGGTACCGGGGATCGAACTCAGGTCCTTGCACTTGCAAGGCAGGTGGTGGAACCACTGAGCTAAATCCCCGGCCTGTGAATTTTACGTTTTTAAGAGCTTGGAAAGGAAAAAAAAAAAGTTACACAAAACTAAATTTCATAAGCCATCAAAACAATTTTGCATTTTATAAAAACTATGTGGATGTGTTTTCTGTAAGATTTTGTTGTTGTTTTTTTTTTTGTACAAGGAATCGAACTCAGGACTCAAGTTTTACTTTTGTTTGTTTTTTGGTACTGGGGATCAAACTCAGGACCTCACACTTGCCAGTCAGGCACTGTGCCACTGAGCTAAATCCCCAGTCCTCAGGACTCAAGTTTGCCATGCAGGCACTGCACCACTAAGCTACATCCCCAGCCCAGAACCATCCTAATTTGAAACCATCCGAATTCCTTGGGCCCTTGTACTTGAAAGACAGGCGGCAAAACCACTGAGCTAAATCCCCAGTCCTTCTGTAAGATAAATGACATATCCTTTGTTTTGTCTCTTGCCCTGCAAAGCTGAAAACTTGTCATCTAGTGGTTTATTTAGAGACAGGGTTTCATTGTGTTACTTAGACTGGCCTCAAACTCCTGGGCTCAAGCACTCCTCCTGCCTTAGTCTCCGGAGTAGCTGGGACAGCAGGTGCCCAGCTCTGGTGACCTATAGGGAGAGTTTGCCAACCGTGCCAACAGCTGAGCAGTAATGTGTCTAGAGATGAGCGGCCTCCACATGCAGGTTTCCAGATGCCCCATCTCACCTCCTGCTGTGTGGAGAGTGATGGAGGAGGCACAGAAGGCAAAACAGTGTGGAGGTGGTGGCCTGGGCCAGGACAAGGACTGCAAGGCCGTGGAGAAAGGCGGCAGGAGCAGGGTGTGTTTGCATCGAGCCTCCTGCTTGCCTCCGGCCCGTGACCCCCACCCCACCATTTGCCTCACCTGGCCCCTTGGAGTCCATACCCTGATTCTGCTCTGTCCTACAGCTGCAGAGTGAGGGCTATAGTCCCAGCCCTGAGCAGAGGGCCCAGGGTGCTGTCTCTGGAGCACTGCCTCCACCTCTACTCCCACCCAGTAGTGCGGCTTTGGGTCCTGCCTTTGACTTTGGGAAGGGCTGAGATTTTGGAGGTGGAACGTATCTGGTGAGCACAGGCAGCAGGAAGCAGGTATGGTCACAGCTGTACACGCACGCCTTCCTGGGACAGACACCCAGGCCATGCTGCTCACAGCCTCAGCTCCCCCACAAAAAGCCATGTCCACAGCAGCACTGTTTATAGTTTCAGAGGAGCTGGAAACAACCCAAATGTCTACTAAACTGATGCAGGACTCAACACACTAAGGCACATCCAGCCAGAAAAGAACAAAGAACTGACATTGCTATTGCATGGATGGACTCTGAAAACACGCCCAGTAAAAAACAAAGACAGAAGCCACACATTGTGCAACTGCATTTATATGATATGCCCAGAGAAAATCTGGGGACGGAAAGGAAGCTGGTAGTGGTCAGGGACTGGGGCAAGTGGGACTGGGGAGTAGACCTGGGTAGAGGGTACACTCACACCTGAGGTGACCTGTGGCACACAGATGGTGTTAGACATGCAGGTCACCCTCCACACCGGTGTGCTTATATGGGGTGGCACACACCTGGGGCCTCCCATGTGCATGGCAGAGTCAGATGCAGGGCACCCCCCATGCACCCTGAGACTCCCAAGCAGAACCCCTTCCCGCCACACCTGTGTACTCTGCTGCTTGCACTGCACACACATGGGTATGGGAGGATCACTTGAGCCTAGTTTGAGACCAGCCTGGGAAATGTATTATTTTCCACTGACCCTGAATGTTTCTCCACTACATCAAACATTTTTGACAACTATTTTTAAAATTATCTATTGTATGCATTGTTATTTTGATGCTGGATACTGAACCCGGGGCCTTGCATTTATGTGCTTTACCACGAGCTACTCTGCCAGCCTCCAGTGTGAATTTATCACTTTTACCTCCCACTTAGCTGGAAATTGACCAATTATAAACACATGCAGTAAATGTCTTTTTTTTTCTGCATGTCCTTGATGACTGCCTAAAAATAGTGGGTAGATCCTGTACCCACTGGTGGTGATGCAACCCACCTTAGCTAGTTGAGGGGTGTCCTTGACACAATTGTGACGCTTGAAAAGTTCATCCATATGAAGGCCTGTGTGATCTGACGTGATTCCCGATGTCACAAGGGTAAACTTAAAAGTCATCTCAGCCACTTCAGTTTATATTAGTACTATCCAACAGAATTTCCTGTGACCATGGAAAGGAAACTGGTGAAAAGCTGAAAGGCGGCTAGTGAGCGACACGCTGAATTCTGTGTTTAAATTCATAGCTAAACAGCTATGCATGACCAGTGGCTGTCAAGCTAGAGTGTTCTGGAAGATGTCCTTGTTTCTCCTCACAGGTAACGCACAGGAGACTGCCTTTCAGAACAGATGCACATTTTCTTCCAGTTGCCCTTGGCAGGAACAACCTGAATCTGAGGTACAGAGATACCACTGGTATTCGGGGCTCTCATAATATGGGAGAGAGAGAAAATTTAACAAGCTAATGTAGACATTTATGTGTGCCTTCCAGCCACTGTTCACCTTTGTTATCAAGAAGTTGAAGCTATTTTCAACTCAGATGGCATTGTTAGCGGAACACGCACATGTACATTCAGAGCAGGTGACTCCAACACCCAGAGTCCCTGGTGATGAGGACATGCTGGCGGGGGAAGGCAGCTAGCAAACAACACAACAAATTATAAAACTTACTTTAACTGGAAAGAGTTGAAGTTCTTGTTAAATTTATTTTTTGAGCTGGTAATGCTTTTACATGTTTCAAAATTGCAAAAATATAAAAAGATATAGAGTGAAAATATTCCTCCTCTCCATCCTTCCTTTCTTTCCCAAGGGCGACCAGTGTACCTGTTTGCTTTTTACTTTCAGAGACTGTATTTATGTATACATTTCCTCTTTACACAAATGGAAACAGTTTTACACCCTGCTCTTCACTGAAGGTATCTTGGGGGTCTTTCCCATATTAGTATAGAAGGACAGTCTTCATTTTTAAGGCTGTGCTATCTATTCACCATAAAGTACTTAGCTAGTTCTCCATGGTGAATACAGTGGTTGTTTCCAAATGTTTTACTTTTAAGATCAACAGTATAATGAAAACTATATACAAACAGTTTGCACATGTACAAATGTCTGTAAGATTCATTCCCAGCAGATTTCCTGAAACAAAACCTTTCTGTATTTGTAATTTAAATAGTGACTGCTAAGTCTTAATATCAATTCACTCCCACTGGAAATACACAGGAAATGTTTCCACTCCTTTGAGAAAGCTTGAAGCTGTGTGAAGGGTAGATGCATTGTTAAAATCTTTCTGAAAGGTAATTTTAAAAGTTACATGAGGACTGGGGATTTAGCTCAGTGGTTCTGCCACCTGCCTTGCAAGTGCAAGGTCCCAAATTTGATCCCCGGTACCAAAAAAAAGAAAAAAAAAGTAAAAAAAAAGTGAAATAGGAAGAAAAGGGATAAAGGTGTAGGGGAAATGGGAAGGGTAGGGGAAAGGTAATGAGGGAAAGGAAAAAAATATGAGAAAATGAAAAAATGGAATTAAAGTACTTGTAAATAAGGAAGGGAGGAGGGGGTGACGGAGGGCAGGGATAAGGGGGAAAATGAGAACCAAGACCTGTCATGTAAAGGTACAAAATCCCAATGATGAATGTAACTGTACTGTATACCTAAAATGTACCAATAAACTCCATGAGAAAAAAAATAGCTTCATGAAATTCATTGTCATGGAAAATGCTCAAACTATAGTAAAAAACATGGGTTACAAGAAAATGAAAAAGGATCCTGAATTTTTAAACACAAGGTAACTATATACACACATATACATAATTTAATGTACACACTGTATATTTGTATATACATTTAAAAATTTGCAAGGAAAAATTAGCAAAATTTAAGTAGTAATTACTATCTCTGTATGGCTGAAGCATCAGGAATTTTCATATTTTTTTGAATTTGTATGCATTTTCCAAGTTTTGACTATTAAGATCTTGTGTTACTTTATAAACAAGTAAAACCATGATTTCTCCTAGTATACAGTAATTTCCCCTGAGGTGTTTCTATTCCAAAATACCTACAAGATCAATAGAAAACCATGCCTGAACATGAGCCGAACAGAGAAACACCATGCAGATCTCCAGTGCTTGTTCCTTCTCCTTCTGCCTGTCCCCATCTGACCCAGTACGGCCCCTGGAACTTCAGCCCTCCTGGCATCCACTCCGAGAAGTGTCCAAACAGGAGCCCTGCGACACCTGCTGATTTGGGGGTCAAGGTGGAGAGAACAGGGCAGCACGGGCCTGGCTTCAGAGCGGTCCAGAGCCATGCCGCCACTATTGCTCCCTCCAAAGTCGGAACAGTGAAGGGGAACGGTCCGAAGTGGGGTTGGCACCAGGCCGTCCTGGCTGGCCTACCTGCTGATCACCTCCCCTCGGGGCAGTGGTACTGGGGACGGAGGAACAGACTCCAGATGTCCACGGGGTAGAAGCAATGGGGCCCTTGATGGGCGTAGAGGGGTCAAAGGTGGTTTATTGTCTGGGCAGGGAGTAACAGCCCCCATGGAAGGGGTGGGGAGGGGGATTTGTCTGGGTGGGAAAATGGCAGTTTTCAGGGACCTTATGGCTCATCTGAGGGCAGCTGTCCCACATGGGACCAGAAGCTTAGAACTTAGAAGCACCAGACTCAGCGTTGCGGTAAGCAACCCAGCTGGGAAACGGATGGCACCTGGGACTCCAGGGGGAAGAGGGTTGCTGGGAGGACCAAAGCCCGTGAAGAGATGGAGGGCATGGGGTGCTACAGGAGTGTGGCATGCTTCACGGTCCAGAGGAAGAGGGGAAGCCGAAGTGGTAGCAAACAGCCACGGCAAGGATGGATCCTACGAAGATGGGAAAGAGGTGAGGGGTGAGAGTGACATGGGAGCCTGCGGGGGCGTCTTCCAAGAGCTGGAGGAGAAAGCCACAGAAGCTGCTAGCTGCCTACCCACTTCCCCGGACTTTGTCTCTTACCTGTGCCTGCCACAAGGTGAGAAATGCTAGCTGCCGCCTTTACAATCCTCCTCATCATTAAGGTGGCTCTGTGACCCAGTCTTGGCCAACTGGTCATACATGAGTATGTACTACTGGCTCCTGGGAGAGCCTTTCGTTTGAAATATCATCATGATGTTTCCTGGCTGCTTCCTGTCTGTATTCATGAGGTAAGGCCTAAGAGAACCGCAGAAAACTGGTTCTGACATGGCAAAAGCACTGAGAAGTCAGCTTGGAACAAAGCCTAGTGAGTTTCAGTCACTGTCATCAAATTCTGACCCCATTATTTCCTGTCTGTGTAACTTTGGGCAGGTTCCTTTTGTCTTCTGCTTAATTTTCCTCATCTGTGGAATGACGGTATCTCACATAACCACCGTGGGCAAAGTGCGCCAGAAGGTGCCTCCTTTCTTGTAAAGGGAAAGTTATCTCCTAAGATGAAGCAGCAAAGGGCGCAAGTCAAGGAATGACGCAGTCACTGTAAAAAGGTGATCTGGGATGGGAAATGGGACGAGCAAGCTCAGGGTTTGGTAAGGTCCTACGGGGCCTCTACTGAGACGAAGCAAAAGGTTACAGCATCCTGGAAGCCCAGGAGCAGCGGCACTCCAGCATCCACAGAACAGAGGACGGCGCAGCGAGCCACAGTGGCAGTGCACGGCAAGCTCAACCATCCAACCCTGGGACAAGAGCTGGCCCAGCGTATTCCAGGGTGACCATTCTTCCAACTCTGCCCGTTCAATCCAAAGCACCTCCTGCAGTTAAGGTTTAGGGACTGATTTTTGCACGCTGAGTTGTGCCATGCTCGATCTTATAGCTTCATGAAATTCATTGTCATGGAAAATGCTCAAACTATAGTAAAAAACATGGGTTACAAGAAAATGAAAAAGGATCCTGAATTTTTAAACACAAGGTAACTATATACACACATATACATAATTTAATGTACACACTGTATATTTGTATATACATTTAAAAATTTGCAAGGAAAAATTAGCAAAATTTAAGTAGTAATTACTATCTCTGTATGGCTGAAGCATCAGGAATTTTCATATTTTTTTGAATTTGTATGCATTTTCCAAGTTTTGACTATTAAGATCTTGTGTTACTTTATAAACAAGTAAAACCATGATTTCTCCTAGTATACAGTAATTTCCCCTGAGGTGTTTCTATTCCAAAATACCTACAAGATCAATAGAAAACCATGCCTGAACATGAGCCGAACAGAGAAACACCATGCAGATCTCCAGTGCTTGTTCCTTCTCCTTCTGCCTGTCCCCATCTGACCCAGTACGGCCCCTGGAACTTCAGCCCTCCTGGCATCCACTCCGAGAAGTGTCCAAACAGGAGCCCTGCGACACCTGCTGATTTGGGGGTCAAGGTGGAGAGAACAGGGCAGCACGGGCCTGGCTTCAGAGCGGTCCAGAGCCATGCCGCCACTATTGCTCCCTCCAAAGTCGGAACAGTGAAGGGGAACGGTCTGAAGTGGGGTTGGCACCAGGCCGTCCTGGCTGGCCTACCTGCTGATCACCTCCCCTCGGGGCAGTGGTACTGGGGACGGAGGAACAGACTCCAGATGTCCACGGGGTAGAAGCAATGGGGCCCTTGATGGGCGTAGAGGGGTCAAAGGTGGTTTATTGTCTGGGCAGGGAGTAACAGCCCCCATGGAAGGGGTGGGGAGGGGGATTTGTCTGGGTGGGAAAATGGCAGTTTTCAGGGACCTTATGGCTCATCTGAGGGCAGCTGTCCCACATGGGACCAGAAGCTTAGAACTTAGAAGCACCAGACTCAGCGTTGCGGTAAGCAACCCAGCTGGGAAACGGATGGCACCTGGGACTCCAGGGGGAAGAGGGTTGCTGGGAGGACCAAAGCCCGTGAAGAGATGGAGGGCATGGGGTGCTACAGGAGTGTGGCATGCTTCACGGTCCAGAGGAAGAGGGGAAGCCGAAGTGGTAGCAAACAGCCACGGCAAGGATGGATCCTACGAAGATGGGAAAGAGGTGAGGGGTGAGAGTGACATGGGAGCCTGCGGGGGCGTCTTCCAAGAGCTGGAGGAGAAAGCCACAGAAGCTGCTAGCTGCCTACCCACTTCCCCGGACTTTGTCTCTTACCTGTGCCTGCCACAAGGTGAGAAATGCTAGCTGCCGCCTTTACAATCCTCCTCATCATTAAGGTGGCTCTGTGACCCAGTCTTGGCCAACTGGTCATACATGAGTATGTACTACTGGCTCCTGGGAGAGCCTTTCGTTTGAAATATCATCATGATGTTTCCTGGCTGCTTCCTGTCTGTATTCATGAGGTAAGGCCTAAGAGAACCGCAGAAAACTGGTTCTGACATGGCAAAAGCACTGAGAAGTCAGCTTGGAACAAAGCCTAGTGAGTTTCAGTCACTGTCATCAAATTCTGACCCCATTATTTCCTGTCTGTGTAACTTTGGGCAGGTTCCTTTTGTCTTCTGCTTAATTTTCCTCATCTGTGGAATGACGGTATCTCACATAACCACCGTGGGCAAAGTGCGCCAGAAGGTGCCTCCTTTCTTGTAAAGGGAAAGTTATCTCCTAAGATGAAGCAGCAAAGGGCGCAAGTCAAGGAATGACGCAGTCACTGTAAAAAGGTGATCTGGGATGGGAAATGGGACGAGCAAGCTCAGGGTTTGGTAAGGTCCTACGGGGCCTCTACTGAGACGAAGCAAAAGGTTACAGCATCCTGGAAGCCCAGGAGCAGCGGCACTCCAGCATCCACAGAACAGAGGACGGCGCAGCGAGCCACAGTGGCAGTGCACGGCAAGCTCAACCATCCAACCCTGGGACAAGAGCTGGCCCAGCGTATTCCAGGGTGACCATTCTTCCAACTCTGCCCGTTCAATCCAAAGCACCTCCTGCAGTTAAGGTTTAGGGACTGATTTTTGCACGCTGAGTTGTGCCATGCTCGATCTTCCTTCCTTCCGAGTTCTGATGCTGAAGGCGTGTTTAACATCACTAGAACGCAACTGCAGTGGGAACACCAAACAGAAGAGCAACCTGGTTAAAGCATGGCACCAAAGGAACTGCTCTGCCCAAGTCAGGGTGACCTACTGTCACAAGCCCACAATTTACTTCACTTTGGGTTTAAAAGTAGGTTTAAGAGAGGTAAGTCTTTTGCAGATGGGAAGGGGATCCAGAGATAGAGGAAGAGGGGAGAAGAGTAAAAAGAATTAAGATGGATTAAGTACATGTACCTACTCCCTAAAATGAAAGTAAACATCAGGTACTGTGAGCATGTACTAAGAAAAAAAAAGTTTAAGTAGGTTTAAGTCCTCAATTTGTTGTTGTTGTTATTGTTTGTTTGGTTTTTTTGGTACCGGGGATCAAACTCAGGACCTCACACTTGTGAGGCAGGTGCGGCGCCACTGAGCTAAATGCCTGGCCCAAGTCCTTGGTTTTTATATCCCTTGTGCTATGAGACACCAAGGACCATACTTTTTTTTTTTTTTTTTTTTTTTTTTT